TTTTTTCTGTGTCACGTGAATGACATGATTTAACCTTTTTTTTTTGGCAGTCTGATAAAACCTAGCAATATTTTTTTCGGAGTATTTAGAAGTGTACAAAATACATTTTGAAGAAAATGAAGAAGTATTAAAGAAATCAATTGTATTGAAATGCAGTTTATCACAATACATATTTGAAAAACAAGTTCATGGACCTCAAGTTAAGAATCTTTGCTTTAGGTCACAGTGAGCATTTCTTGTGCCTCCTGATTTTGATCTCTCTATCCAGGGGTGTGGAACCTGCAGCCTCAGGTAGACCCTGGGACTCATCAGCAGCAGATATGATATTTGAATCCATAGGAGCTGGTGAGATCACTAAGTGACATAGTGTAGAGGGAAAAGAGAAGAGAGCCCAGGAAAGATCCCTATGGGATACCTAGAGTTAGCAGGTGTGACCTAGATAAAAATCTGGCAAAGGAGACTTAGAAGTGAAGGTCAGAGAAGTAGGAAGGGAACCAGGAGAAAGCAGTGCCACAAAAACCTAGAGAGAAGAGAGTATCAAGGAGAAGTGGGTGATCTGCAGTGTCAAAAGCTTCAGGGAGGTCAAAGAGAATGAGGATTGAGAAAAGGCCATTGGATTTGGCAGAGAATGGTTTTGGATGAATGATGAAGGTAGAAGGCAGACTGTAAAAGTTAAGAAGGGAGTTACAGGTAAGAAAGTGGCAGACCTAATGTATGTGGTCTTTTCAAAGAGTTTAGCCACAAGAGATGAGAGATACAGGATGATAATTAGCAGTGAGGGATGAATGAAGTGGTTTTTTTTTTTGAGGATAGGTAGATGTGAGCATATTTATAAGCAGTAAGGAAGCAGCCAGTAGACAAGAAAAGGTTGAAGGTGAAAGTAGGGATGAGACAGGGCAATTTGCTGGAGAAGACAGGATGGAATGGGATCACGTATGTAGATGTATATATGTAGAAAGCTTCTCCTTGACAAGGAGATAGTGTCCTATGTGAGGTATGTGGGATGAGTGATTGTGAGGAGTTGAGGATGGTACTGAGGTTGTAGGTTTAGGTGGAGATGGAAGGAGATGAAAAGGAAAGTCAAACGGGAGGACTGTTGGAATTGGAAGGAAGAACTTAAGAGAGGAACTATTTTAGCTTTCTCCTTTCTGCTTCTAAAGTTGTAAAAGCCTTGTTGTCTAGTAGCAAGAGCACCTGACTTTGAGCCAGAAAATACTTGGGTTTGCTTGCATGGATGCATCCTTTGTGACTATCAGTGGGTTGCCTTTGGATCTTCATTTGTAAAATGAAGATAATAGTAACCAACATTGACATAGCATTGTAAGACTTGCAAAGCACTTTATATGTATTATTTCATTCGATAGCAATGCTAGAGGTGCCTATTTCTCAATAGGGTTGTGAAAGTCAAATCAGATAATGAATACAAAGCTCAATCAATCAACAAGGTTTCTTAATGCTTACTGCGTTCCAGGAGCTATTCTATGGAAGCTTCACATTTGAGCAGCAGTGCAGAGTAATAATAGAGAATATCTTGGGGTTCAAGTCCTTCTTCTGACACATACTGGCTACATGTGAACTCGGACATGTCACAACCTCTCAGTCCCCAGGTAGCTTTCTAGCACAAATAATTACAGAGCAGGTGTGTCCTACGTTGGTGGATGGAGTTCGCTATACCAGTGTAATTATTGGTATGGTCCAAAAAGAAGGAAATCACTTTTTAAGACAGTCACGAAGTAGGTGCCCATCAACTGGGGAATGACTGAACACATTATGGTATATGAATGTGATGAGAGTTCCATGAGATAGAAAGAAGGAGATGAAAAGGGTGGAAGTTAGGTTGTTGAAGTCTCACTAGTACCTCATGCCACAGGTGATTAGGAAAGAGAAAGACCAAAAAAAAAAGATTCTAAATACAACTACAAATGAAATGGAGCTCAAAAATTATAAGTCACTGGATCACAGATTTGGCCCAGAAGGGACTGCTGTTGACTAATTAAGCTGCCAGTGCTGTCTGTGACCTGTATGACCTACAAACGTGCTCTTGATACCTTCTTATTTATAACCGCTAGCTTTACCCGTAAGTCCCCAAGGAACATTGACAATAAATTTTCAAGACTCCAGACAAGGAGAACTGCTATTCATATTCTATGTTTATTTTGAGCCTTTTACCATTCAATGTACAGATGCGTGATAGAAATTTGACACTTACATAGTTGATTTCATCCCTGTAGATATCTATATCTACATTGATATAATTCAGACTCTCATATTCTCACTTAAAGGACCCAAATGACTTATGTTGTTGAAGTTTTATTGCAGGATGGAAAGCCTAGGGAGAGCTGAGCTGTAAAACAATTGTTCAGGTTTGGAAAAAATCCTCAAATCCCCTACTTTTGGGGGCCAGCTGAATTCAAATTGGACTTCTGTTTGTTGAGCAAACAATCTGGTGAACCAGATAATTGGCCACTCTTCATTAGATACAGTCTCTGGGTAGTTTTTGACCTTCAGCATGGAGACATACTTGTTCCTTCCAGTATTTAATCTCTAAACCTGAATTTTTCATGATCCTCTGAATTTAAGAAACCTTGGCTGCTGTATAATTTTAGGCTATTAAGCAATTTCTTCATTATGCATAGATGAAGATGCTTTAACGTTCATACAATACTAAATTCTAAACAGTATAAATCAATTTTAATAGCCTAAAAGTACACTGTATGATATGTGGATATTGACAACTTAATGCTTCCTGGTAGCTATAGACATCAATTAGCTCTGAATTGGGGCCATAGAAAATGCTTAACTCAGCTGCTGATTATGGAAACGATGGTGGCCATGAGAGATGGCAGCTTAAGTGGAGAGTGAGGCATTTTAAAATTCTATTCCTTAAGTTGTTTTTCTTTACTTATTCAGAGAAATATAGAATCTCAGAGCTGGATGGGAGCCCAGACCTTACCCAGACCTGAACCAGCAGCCCCTTTACAATGTGCCCAAGAGGCATCCTGCTTTTCCTTCATGACTTTTAGTCATGGGGGAACCTACTGTGTTCTGTGGCAGTTTCCTTCAATTTTGGAAGGCTCCAATTATAAGAAAGTTTTCCTTTACATCCTACCCAAATGTGCCTTTCTACAACCTTCACCTTCTAGAAAATGTTAACTCTTTGAGAGCAAGGAGGAAATGACCAAATGAATAAAAGATCATTTATTATGTTCTATGCATAAAGCTTTGTGCTATGTGTGGGAAATACAAAAATAAAAGCAGCGATTGTCCCTTCTCTTAAGGAGCTCACATTCTAATGGAGGAGGCAACACATATAGGAGGTTTCAGCTGCAAATTAGATAGAAATGTCTTTAGAGTACAGCAGCATAGCAGATGGTGAAGCCTTTTTAAAAAATGTTATTTCACATGTTAAAATCATATGTTTTTGATGTTGAACCATTTGACTATGCTAAGGACTTTAATGGGGAGAACTTTGTTTTCCCAGGTTTCAATAGCTGTGGTTGCTGATGGGGTGGAGGCTTCAGCACCTGCGGAAGCAGTTACCAGGTCCCATTTCCATAGAGTATGCCTCCTGGAAAAAGTGACCCGGGCAAGGAATGATGAGACACTCTCTTATTTTTTCTATTTATATCTCCAGTGCCTAGTGTAAGAGCCTGATACACTTAAGAAATGTTTGTGGACTGATGGGTTGGCTCCTAGGGCCAAACAGACCAAGTTCAATATCTCTTCAAAATCTTCCATATTCCCTTTGAAGGGAACCCTCCCTCTACCCCAGAGAACAGGAAAAACACTGGGATTTTATGATAACTCAGGAAAAAATGATAGAGAAGACACCAAAAAGGCCTCAACATTTGACAGATGAAGAAACTGGCTGAAGGTTAAGTGATTTGTCCAAGGTACCACAGATAGTAAATGGAAAGCTGAGTGAACAACTGAGACATTTTTCCTAGGAGAGTGAAGATGAATGAATAATGATCTTTTTCAGGACTAGCTGTGATGGCAAGGTCAGCTCTTCTAAGTTAGCCAAGAAAGCAGAGCACTGAGTGCCCCTTGCAGGTAGTCGCAACTTTGCCATTTTAGAGACATAAAATGGTTTTTCCTGATGGGTAGCAAGGTCAGAGGAAATGTGAGGATGTGTCAGTGGTATATTGAAAACTGTTCCCATGAATAATAAGGAGTAAAAAACTGCTGCCGTTGTGAAGACACATATGAGAAATAGGAATGATAAAGGGAAGATCCAGTGTGTTCTCTTCTCCCTTCTCCCTGATGTGCTCATACCAAGAGCTCTTTTGTTATAAGCTGCCCTTCCCTTTGGAAAATTCCTAAAGTGACTTCTCTGTTTTCTAGCTGCACCCCAGTTCCTCAAAGACCTTAACTGTGAACGACTCAACATGATACATAGCATTAGACTTCTAGAGCGGGAAGGGACCCTAGGGACCAGGTAGTTTACTCTTGCCTTGTTTTATGGAGGAGTAGTGACTTGTCTAAGGTTTCATACAAGTACAAATGACAGAGGCAGGACTAATAGTAAAGCGTGCCTCCTGCCTCTTGGCAGAGAGAAGGGCAGAGCAGGGGCAGAATGAGACTTTCAGATATTGCCCATATGTTCATTTATTTTGCCTTATTTTGATACAAGGGAGGGTTCTATTTGGGTGTACTTCCACGTGATTTCTCTTTCTGGGCTCTCTCCTTTTTCTATTCACCTGCTACCCTGGAGAAACCTTTGCTGTGACTCCTACTTCTCCTTGCTTTGCCTTGGCCCCTACTTTCACTCCTCCAGTTTTCCAGCTTGTCCTTATGTGTTGTGTTCCCCCAACAGGTTTCTTGTTTGTATGTGTCCCCAGCACCTAGCCCAGTGCCTGACATGTTGTGAATAATAAATGCTCTCTTTCTCTCTCTCTCTCTCTCTCTCTCTCTCTCTCTCTCTCTCTCTCTCTCTCTCTCTCTCTCTCTCTCTCTCTCTCTGTTTTTGTTTTTCTTTCTCCCTCTCTTAAAAAAAAAAGCAAACCACAAAGAAGGAAGACATTTGCATGCGAGCCAGGACAGCCTTGTCCATGGATTGAAGGATCTATCTTCCACCTGTCAAGGAAATGCTCTCCTTGCCGAGATCACAGCTAATCCTGGAAACCTAGGTAACCATTGTAGCCAGGAGTGTTTTCTTCCATTTATGAGAGTGAGTCAGACATACACACCTTCCACTAAGCCAGGCTTCTTTCCGTAAGCTGCATCTTGATCTGTCAAGCATCAGAAGCCAAATGAAAACTGCATTGAGTTCAAAATCCATTGGCTCACCATCTGCACATAATTCACTGAGGTCACAGCCCATCTAACTGGACTGGTGAATGAGTGGACAAAGGGTTCCTTTCAAAGGAGGATCCTTAGTTATGATGCTCTGAATATCAGCGAACTTACATTTTTATTCTTTGTTTATTCACTTCAAAATTCTCCATAAAGGTCTCCAGTCTGTGAAACTCCTTTCTGAAGGAGTCACCTGCTTCCTGATCATTTTCAGGAAATGGCACAAGATCCAACTGTTACTTCATGTTGGGGGCCTGAAGAACAACATGAATGCCCTTGGAAATGAGCCCAGCAGCCCTTGCCCCTAGAATCACTGAATGTCTGAGCTGGAGTGAGTCTTAGGAGTCATCTCCAAGCTATTACCCCAAAGCTTTTAGGGTATGGTTGGTTGTCTTCCCTCCCAGACTCAGTCTTGCCCTTGGTAGTCCCAGAGACTGAGGAGGGAGTGCTCAAAGGATCCCAAGATAAACTTAAATCTTAGCAAATCTTCAGGAAGTGAGGAGGAGAGACAGAGACAGAGGGACACAGAGAGAGAGGGAGAGAAAGATAGAGGGAAAGAGAAGAGGGAGAGGGGAAGAGAGAGAGACAGACAACAGGCAAAGAGAGAGACAGAGACAGAGGGACACAGAGAGAGAGGGAGAGAAAGATACAGGGAAAGAGAAGAAGGAGAGAGGAAGAGAGAGAGAGAGAGAGACAGACAGACAACAGACAAAGAGAGAGACAGAGACAGACAGAGAGACAGAGGGACACACACAGACAGAGAAAGATAGAGGGAAAGAGAAGCAGGAGGGAGGAAGAGAGAGAGAGACAGACAGACAGACAACAGACAGACAAAGACAGAGACAGAGACAGAAAGATGTAGAGAGGAAGAGAAAGATAAAAGGAAAAAGAAGAGGGAGGGAGGAAGGGAGAGAGAGAGACAGAGAGAAGGGAGAGAGAGACAGAGAGGGAGAGAGAAAAGGGAGAGGGAGAAGGAAAGGAAAAAGGAGAGATGAAGAGGGAGATAAAGGGGGGAAGAAAGAGGGAGAGGGAAAAGAGAGACAAAGACAGAAGGAGACAAAGAGACAAAGTCAGGCATACAAAGTGCTACAGCATCCTAAAATCCTGACTTAGATCACAACTCATCATGATCTTGATGGCTGCCTTATAGAATAGCACTTCCATATTCTTTCTGGTGCCAAAAAAATATGGAAATGCAGGGGCAAAACAAAAGCATTCTCTAGAAGCCATCAAAACGTGGGTTTAAATGCAAATGAAGAAAGTGAAGCAGGGAATAGTTGAGTCACTTGTGGAGGTCACCCAGTTTAGAGGCAGTGTATGGAAAAATGATGGAAAGAACCAGAGGACCGAGGCAAAAATCCAACCTTTGATGGTTCCTACCTTTATGACCTTGGGTAAGACATTTAATACTTGGGTGTCAGTTTCCTCTTCTGCAAAATGAAGAAGTGATGATCTTTGTGATCCTTTCTAGATGTAGGCAGTGAGAGAGTGAAGGTGAGAGCCCGGGTCTCCTGCCATAATTGGCTTTTCCTGCAATACTCATGCTTACAGTATCCATATGTCACTGTACCGACAGAAGAGTCAACCAAAGGGAATGAACATTAGCCTTTCTAAAAATAAATGAGGAGTAGTATGGTATAGTAGAGAGTCCTAGGCTAGGAGCTGGGAAATCTGGGTTCAAACTGTGCCTCTGACACTTATTACCTCTGTGACCCTGTGCAAGTCACTTACACTTTATCTAATTCAGGCAAGTCCCTGGGGCTCATCAACTGAATCCTATGTTGTCATCTTTAGAGCAAGGGTTCTTACTTTGCAGTGTATCATGGACCCCTTTGGCAGTCTGCTCGAGATTATGGGCTTCTCCAAATAATGTTTTTAAATGTACAAAATAAAACACAGTACAAAGGAAACTAATTATATTGAAGTAGTTATCAGTATGTTGTTATTCAGTTGTTCAGTCATGTCTAATTCTTTGTGACTCTTGGCAAAGATAATGCACTGATCTGCCATTTCCTTCTTCAACCTATCCCCATTTTACAGATGAGGAGCTGAGGCAAATAGAGATTAAGTGACTTGCTTGGGGTCACATAGCTAGTAAGTGTCTGAGTTATCAATATGTTGTTCAGTTGTTCAGTCACGTTCAACTCTGTGACCCCATGGACATATCCATGGAGTTTTCTGGTGAAAAACACTGGAGCAGTTTGCCATTTCCTGGCAAGTTACTAATATAAATGGGTATAAATATGTGTGTTTGTGTGTATACACACATACACATACTACATCTATATATAGATATGGATAGATATATAGATATTGATACAAAAAGCATATATCTGAAGATAGCTGTAAATACATACATAGATACATATCTATAAAGATAACTATATGTAATATAGCTATTTCTAGCTCTATATGTGAATCTCTAGATCTATCTCTAGATATTTATACATATTTGTAGATCTAGAGATACCTAGATTCATATATAGATATAGATCTAGAGATATTTATACATCTAGATAAATAGATTTCTATTTATCTAGATCTATAAATAGGTATCAAAAATCCATAGATCTATATCTATCTATCTATCTGTCAATCTTTCTACCCAAATTCATGGACCTTAGTTAAGAGCCCTTGCTTTAGAGGGAGTTTCAGCTCTCTGATAATGATGATGATATTATAAATCTTCTGTCTCTTGATGTATTTACATAAAAATACTTGAGTGTGACCTTTGGAGGAGGCAGGTACTTCATTGGCAGTAAATAAATATTTTCTGAGCATAAGGAGGCTTGTAGCAACCGTTGCAGGGTGAAGTAAGCAGAACCAGAAAAACCAGCTAATTGAAATGGAATGCTGTGACCAAGCTTACCCCCAAAGAATTGATATGAGAAAGTAGTTTTCTATGCATCTTCACAGAAGTGGGGTGTTAGGGGTGTGGAACACTGCATAAAAGGTCAGCTTTTAAGAAACATTGGTTAATTTTGCTGAATTGTTATTTCTTCTTCTTCTACCTACTCTTCTTTCTTCTTTTTCTTCTTTTCCTCCTCCTCCTCCTTGTCCTTCATGCTAATGGCTCAGGAATTCAAGACAGGTTTGTAGATCCAGGGCATCTCCTGAACTGATAGTAATCTTGGGGTTCCAATGTTCTTTGGTCTTGTGTAGAAGTCTTTCTACTGCCTTCAGATTTCCTTCTATATTTTCAGAGCCTGAAGGAATAGTTTTGTGATAATTGTGAGGAATAAGAATCCTGTGGAGACCTGTCTGTGTCATCCATCCATGGGTTCTGGGAACAAGTAGGGTTGGGAACCCTGTACTCTTAGATCACAGAAGCAACCAAATTTGTCCTCAAGTTCTGCTATTTAACACATGTTGTTCATGTTTATCAATATATATTCTTTTGACAAATGTGATGTTTTAGGAAGGCAGCATGGTACAGTGTAAAGAATGCTAACTCTGGAGTCTGAATATCTGAGTTGAGATTTTGCCTCTGAAACTTACCTGTATGACTTTGGCCAAATTACTTAACTTCCCTGGGTCCTAGTTTCCTCACCTCTAAAATGAAGAGGTTGTATTATATATCTTCTAAGGTCCCTTTCAGTTCTAGAGCTGAACCTATGATCCTTGTTCCTCAAATGATTGTGTTCCTACACATTTGTTCATATGTTGTATTCCCCCTGAAGAATGCAAGTAATATGAAGTCTTTTTGTTTTTATGTCCTCGATGCCCTAGCACAATGCTTCACACATAGTTGATTTGCTATTTTCTGCTTATTTTGCATGGTTATTACTAGATGGTACTCTCTCTTGGTCTCATAGCTACTGACTTACCAGCTTCTGCTACTTATCCCTTCAGTATACCTTCTGACCATCTTGGTTCCTGTCTGCTAGGGTACCTCTATCTGAAAAGACTGTATTATTGGACCAAAAACAGACAAAAGTGCTCCAAGACTAAGATTAAACTAGTTTTTAAATATTATTTCTACAGTTAGAAGGAACCATATCCTTGTCCCAAGTCTCTATCTGATTTGAGTTAGAAAGTCCTTGCAGACCTGTTAAAGTTACAAAATTAATCATACCCTTTGACCCAATTATTCTTTTATTGGGAATGTACCCTCAATGGTTTGTCAACAATAAAAACAACAAAAGATATTTATTTAAAGATTTTCATAGCAGCATTTTATTTATGTGCAAAACCCACATCAACCTAAATGCTCATCAATTAAGGAATGGTTAAATAAATTATGTTACATTAGTGTAATGGAATATCACATTGTAATTAGAACCAGAAAAATATGAGGAATGTAAAGATATCTGGAAAGGTCTTTGTGAGATAATGCAAAGTGGAAAAAAGCATGATTAGAATGGAATATACCTTAACTATGATCCACATGACCATACAAAAAAAAAGTCAATGAGAATGAATGGACAAAGAATCCTGATGAGGATGTAGAGGACTATTAGATTGTAATCTCCTTGAGGCCAAGGACTATCTTTGCCTTTTTTGTATCCCTGTGCTTAGCACAGTGTCTGGCATATAGTAGTCACTTAATAAATGCTTATTGATTGATTGGCTTGGAAGAGGGGAGGAAAGGGAAAGGAATAACCATTTATATAGCACCTACTGTGTGCTGGGCACTGTGTTAAGCAGTTTTGTAATTATTATCCTTTGATCCTTGCCTATGAGGAGTTTATGGTTTATTAGAGAACATGAAGGAAACACAGATGTCTTCTGTAAAAGCTGTATGTGAAAAGGAAAGAGAAAGGAAAGGGATAGCATTTATATAGCACCTACTATTTGCCAGGAACTGGGCTAAGTGCTTTATAAATATTATTTCATTTGATCCTCTCAACAGCCCTGCTGAAGCAGATACTATTATTAACCCCATTTTTATAGTTGAGGAAACTGAGGAATAACTGAAACATTATAATACATCATATGTTGGCATTAATTTAAATGTA